GGGTAATTTTTTTTAACCATTTTCCAATATTGAGAAAGAGAAAAATAGAGAAAACAGTGATAATAAGCGAGGTGGAGTTACAGAATGAATTATTAAGGTGGAGACTTTAATGTAAGATAAATATAATAAATGAAGCTAAGAGAGGCAGGAGTGGTAATATCAGAGAGGCAGAACAACACGGGACACACAGCAGGGTTTCACCTTGATTAAACTTTCCTCTGTTGCGTGACACAGCCTGTGACCAAGTCTTCTTGTGGTTGGTGGATAACATATAGAAAAAATATCCCAATCAACTGACTATTAGACGAAGAATAATACACACACACACACACACACACACACACAAATGTATTTTTCAAGGTTTTCTTCCCCAGAGAGTTTGTGAGAGGCCGCTTCGTTTTATTGCCAATTCCGCAACGTCTGAACTTTTATCGGTGTGGTTAAGTATTCCGTCGAATTTTAGTTCTATTGTATATTTCAGATTTGTTGATGGTGATGAACAATAAGTACTTCCTCTACTCCTTCGCTAGGTCGTTCTTGAGGCGTTAGAAGGGGGGACTAATTATTTTCACTCAGACACCGAGACATATTGATCTTATTAGAAGAAAATGTATCGAGGGAGATGGATTTAATTCCACCTGTATAGCAGCTGTTTGTTGTTCTTCACACCCAACACTGGTTGTGGTGAATACATGTTCTCTCTCTGCTGGACCACGATGACGCTACTACTGTTGATGTTGTTGACCTTCTTGTAATGTGTATGCTATTTCAGATTATGCAGGCTCTTAGTGTTTGGTTGTCACTTTCCCGCAGTATTCAGTGTGGATTGGGGCAGCGAGGCGGAGAGCAGTGCCAATACAGTCCTCGGAGCTTGAAGGGCTAAGGGAGGTAGCTATTGGAGAATTCGGGAAGATCTGAATGAAGTCTCCTGATGTGAATATCTGTCATCGATCGTCTTTTGCCAAACATATTGAGTTTATTAATCTTCCAACATATATTAGAACAGCACGTTTAATATTTTCTGGAGCCCAAAGTTTATAGTTCAGATGAAGAGAAGGAAACTTTTACGACAACATGGAAGGCTGCTGGCTAGTGATGGCTGCTGGCTACTGATGGTGGCTCGTGAGATACTTCCTCTTTCGGGTCGTTTATCTTAATCCTCGCGCCACTACTTCCTCCCTTTTGTTCCCTTGGGCGGGGCCAACTGAACGGTCTCCTCCACGGGGCAGTAGAGCAGTTAATCCTCGTCTGGTTGGCTATTCCCCTAGCCATACATATTCCGAAATGACCTCTTATGTCATATTAACCCTCTCCCCCTCTCCACGCCCGCGCTCGTGTTGGTCTTCCTATCAGCTCTTGGTTTATGTGTCTCTACTGGGTGGTTTATGCGTTCACACCAGGTATTATTTTATGAATCCATACCGGGTCTTGGGGTACGTATCCACACCAGCGTTGTTTTATATATCCATAAAGGGTTTTGGTTATATAAAGACCAGTCAGTCGGTGGGTGAGGTGGAGGCGGCCACCACAGCGTCTCACTATTATATAAAATGAGAATCTCTCCCAGCGTGACATGAGGGAGGAGGACCTGAGATATTAAACTTAGGAAGATAAATACTGGAAAGCTCGGCGGTTTATTCCTTTATTATGAATACAAAAGATGTTTTCTTTTACGATTTTTTCTTACTCAGGTCATTAGATACTGTATATATTATGTAGGGAAAAACCTATCTCACTCTATGGCGATGATCAACTGGGGAAGAATTTATACTAAGTTGAAGGGAGAAAATCTTCGCCTTGCTTGTGGTCGTAAAACAGGACGTGATAAAAGTTCAGTTAATCACAAAAAAACAAATCATAAAAAAAGATTAACTAAGCGTCTTCAGTTAATAACAAATATATATAATGTATGTAATTAATTATTGTATTATAATTTCATAAGATATTACCTTACCTAAAAGTAATAACATAACGTAATAATGCTGATGTGTTATTAGCCTTCAAGGGTTACCTAAGTTACCTGGTCTATTGTTTCACCTCTTGAAGGAAACTTAGTGAAATCTTTCGTGTACACACCTTAGAGTGTTGCAACATCACTTGAGAGCAGTCGTTTTTGTCACGGTAGGGATTTAGTTTTATATAACGTGTTTGTGCGCGCGAGCCCTTGCAAGTGTGTGTGTGTACGTCATACTAACTGAAACGACAGAGCTAACCCTTAATCATATGGAAAATTTCACCTTGGTGCGGATGATTAGGTGTCCTTCTGTAACCTACTATGACCTATTGTGACCTACTGTGACCAAATATGACCGCCTGCTGTCACCTCTTGCTGTGATATCTTACTATGACCTCATAAATTGGAGATGAAGCTGCCTGTATTCTAACTCAGGAGCATCACAGTGGAAGAAAATTAAATATCGTGTGTAGGTGAAGGGCTGAGCAGGCAAGAGTTACAACATTCTCAAAGGTTCCTCTATTAAACTTTCCTCGTAACTGTAAGGTGGGAGTCTCTCTCTCTCTCTCTCCAGCCATCTCAGCCAGTGGGTGACTAAAGAGGGCGATACGGGACTTGCAGGATCGTTCACAGATGTTAAACTTGTGGGGGTGCTACATGTAGTGCGGGAGGGGTGGCGGTAGCGTCTTGCTGGCACTTGTGTGCCTCGATATGCAGTTGGGCTAACTCGAAAGTATTGACACCTTCTCGTGTGGTGCTCCTCCAAGCGTTACGGTGTGGAGAGACTGTCTCCGAGGAAAGGGGGGTTGATTTGGTAATTTTTCCGGTTTGTCTTAAGACTATCTTTATACCTTTCAGGTGCCCGCCTGCGTTATGCTTACCATTCGTTAAGTGACTGTAAAGTAGCTGCTTTGACAGTCTACTGTCTTCCATGCAGGTAACATGGCCAGTCCAACGTAGTTGTTCATGGATAATGGTAACCTCGATGCTCCTACAGTTGTTGTCAGCAATAATACTGGCATTTGTTCTCTTGTATTCCCAGCGAACTCGTAGGATGAAACGTAGACAACACTGGTAAAAGTTTTCAAGTGCCTTGAAGTGCCTCCTGTATGTGTCCCATGTCTCGCTGCCATACAGCAGTGTGGAGAGGACCACTGATTGATATACTTTGTAGATAATTTCAACTCCCTACATCTGAAGACACAGGCTTGAGATTTATATCTAATCCGAAGTTGAATCTCTTTATCTATGATCGCAATGGTGGACAGGTGGGAGTCAAGATACTGAAAGTGGGTAACATTAGGGAGAGTAGCTGGATGGGTGGTGGAAGTATGGGTTAACCAGGGGTAGGCTAAAAGAGAATCTGAGGTTTAAATACATTCACTTCAATGCAGAAGTGTGCATACACATCTGCAAAGGTGTTCAGGATCTCCTGTAGGTCGCATTCAGTGTGAGCGACAAGGGTGAGGTCGTCTGCATACTGAAGTTCAGTTATGGACTTGGCCGACAAATTCGTTCCTGTCTAGTGTTGTCTTATGTTGATAAGTTCCTTCAACCAGCACTGGATGACCACCCCGCCGGCTAATTGGGGCCAGTACACATCCTTGTTTTACCCCATTTTGGATGGGGAAGAACTTAGACTGGGTGCCATTGTGCAGGTCACTGCCGTTCATGCCATCATGGAATTGTCTCACAATGGCGATGAATTTTGGTGGGCTACCAAAACGACTAAGGGTTCTCCAGAGGACTTCCCTGTTGACCAAGTTGAAGGCCTTAGTAAGGTCGATGAAGGCCATGTACAAATCACGACGCTATTCTCTGCACTTTTCCTGTATCTGGCGGGCAACAAAGATCATGTCAGTGGTGCCACGTGATAGTCTAAAACCACATTAAGATTTTTGGAGGACGTTTTCCGTCTGAAGAAGTCTGCTAGGAAGATTCGTCCGATAATGTTACCAGCTACGGGCAGCAGCAGTAGTTGCCACAGTCTGACCGGTCTCCCTTGTTCTTATAAATATTGAAGATGGAGGCATTCTAATGTCTTGGGGTATTTTCTCTTCCTCCCATATATTCTTCAGGAGAGAGTGGAGACGGCTGGTAAGTAGAGCTCCTCCTGTTTTATACACCTCAGCTGGGATTCTACCAGGCACTGTGGCTTTGTTATTTTTCATTTGCTTGATGGCAGTAGCTACCTCATCACGGGATGGAGGATAGCTGAGGTGGGTCAGCTCTGGGTGCTGAGGAGTCTGCTGGGTAGTGAGGTCATTCACATCGTCGGGGTTTCGGTTCAGCAGGGAGTGGTACTGCTCTTTCCAGGCTGATGGATACCTTATTCATCTTTAATTAGGGAGTTACTGTCTGATCCGAGGAGGGGGGACGCGCCATGAGTAGTTGGGTATACATTGTTTTAGTGGAATTGAAATATTCCCACTTATTATGTTGACCCGTAAATTTCAACGTTTTACAAGCTGTATATTTCTACCATTCGTCCTTTACACCACGAAGTTTGCATAGGACCATTGCTTTCTTCTGGCGGAAAGTATCAGCTTTGGTCTGAGGTTGAGGGTTGTTCTGCCGGTCAGTGAAAGCAACACATTTGCCAATGACGAGTACATAGATTTCCTGGCTATTTTCGTTCAATCTGGCCGAGGGTCTTGCTGCAGGTTTTTGTCATGACAGCGTCGAGAATACCCCATGCGGCACTCAGATTTAGGTATTCAATGAAATGACAATGTTTGGATCGTGGGTGTTGCCAAGAACCCTTGAACTTGTCGGCCTACCTAAACAAGGTGTGAGTGATAGTGGGGTTGTGTTCAACTCACTTGCTGAGGAGGAGTTGGCTTTGGAATTACTCTTGTCCACTCTGTTTTTCCCTATGATTCCCTGCCATAAGTCAGCATCTCTGCCAACACTGGCAATGGAGTTACCTAGGACCAAAACTTTATCTTCTCTTGGGATAAAAGTTAGCACTCTGTCAAGGTATGCATATAAGGCCTCCTTAATGTCTTGCATTAAGTGTTAAGGCGTATGCGCTGATGAAGAAGGCATGACGTGAGTAATTTAGTGGGACTCGGAGCGTCATGAGGCGCTCGTTGACCACAACAGGCATTTCATTAGCCTATGTAGGAGGGATTGGGGAATGGCAAAGCCAACTCCAT